CGATCACATTTTTGGCTTTTCGAAGGCTACTACTCAAAGAAATATGGATTACTCCAGAATTGCAACATCGATGTTCATCGTGAGTAAATGACAGAATAGAAACGATGCGAATCATGTTGTGTATGTTCGCCATGCACTCTGAACTTGAAATTAATGCGAGTTTTCTCATAAAAGCATGAACCAAACTAACATGCCAATCACGATTATTATGAAATGAAACACACCTTTTACACGCATATTTTAAAGAATATCGTCGACGTCCAGTAAAAACACTCTGGGCTTATAATCGTGAATGCCCTCAACTCGATAAATACCAAGTAAAAACATAGGGATGGGCTTCATACTCGGGAGGGGCTTACGATCGGGGAAGTACGGTACTTTAACGCAATTGGGCTTTCACTCTCAGAATACTGTGGTTCAAACACATAAGGCTCTAACCCAAGTTTTAAAAAGCACATTGTGCATATAAAAGTTGAGTTTATACTAATAGTACACAATGCTTGGCAGCGTGAACGGCTATGTACAATGCCGTATACGAATGCGATCAGATACTAAAACGTCATAGCTTTGAAAAGTACCCGGATGTTAAATATGTTCGTTCGTTAATTATTCCCCTCCATGAATGGCCTCCATGGCAAGCACTTCAAATGCTTATCCAAGCTACAGTTATAATTAAAACAAAATTAAACCACTGCAATATTATTTCGAATACAGTTTAGAATATACACAACTATAAGGCCGCATTTAGGTTCGCTTTAACAATACTTTTCAGCAATGTTTGTTTTACCCTGTTTGTCTACTACTACCTTATTTGTTCAATATTAGAACCACATTTTTGGTGGTATTTTTAAATACACTCAATTCATACTGCTGTAATGTTAAAAGGGTTTTTACATAAGCACAATATAAACTGCTTTTAATGTCATGTAGATGTGAGGACAAGAGGATGTGTTATAGTAACATTCCCACTTTGAACACCTCCTGTTGATTACTGTGATCACAGTGATAAATGGTAGTTGGTATGGCAGATCATGACTTTTTTAAAGCACTGAAAGTCATGCTGTATAATCACCTACTGTAAAACATGTTGAAACAGCGACATGCGATTTTAGCGAATTGTGGCCAAATAACGTAATAGCGAAATGTTGATTTAGCGAATCTCTCTTTGTCATTGTTGATTTCTTGTTTTCACAATACTTGTCTGTTGCATGCCAAAACAAATGCGCAGTTATCACCTCCATAAAAACAAAGAATGATTCGCAATGATTAAAAAACTGATTCAACAGAGATTTGAAAAAGCGAGTATGGTTGCTGCGTTACATCCAGAACATTGACCTTTTATATTGGGACTCAAAAATTTACATAATAAAATATAAGTATCACTTCATTTATTTATTTTCATTAAAATAATGGCCACAATGAAAACGTTTATTCTTTTGGGTTAATTTACTTTTCAATAAAATGTATCTGCCATGTCAGTATGTTTGTTTTGTGTTATTTACAAAGTGTGTGTCTGGAGAAAATGATGTTTTTTGACCGCCATTTTGAATTTATAATAAAGTCATTAGCAACATCTTACATTAGCGATTGAGTTCTCGCTAAATTCGCTAAAAAGACATGCTCGTGAAAAAGACATGTTTTACAGTATTTAACCATAATTTTCATTGTTGTAATCACTCAAAATACTTTACATGTAAATTTAGAATTAATCTCTAAATTTAATTTCAGGATTCTGTTGGATAAATTTATCATGAACTATACAATATCCACAGCTATTATTTTGCTTATGTGGGTCAATAAGAGATTTTCTACAGATCACACAAAGTGGGAATGTAATTTTAATGTACAAGTATTGCACAGTAGCAGTTTGATTCACTCGCTTACAAGAGGAATAACTTTTGTCTAACTATATCAGCTATTCCTGGTGAAAACACAATATGGCAGTGAGACAATGGTTTTATCCCTTTTCATTGGAATATTTAACACAATATTTTTATAAACCTGTTAATTCACTACCTGACAGAAAAGACTTAATCAAACATGAAAACAGCTTGTTACTAAGACATCTGTGTTTGAGAAATTAGACATACTATGGAATGAATAATGGAGTCTTGGTTTCACAATGCTTGTGCCTATGTATTGTTCATTTGTTCACTATACATGTTTAGACACATACATAAGTAAATGTATTATCATGTTCTTGCTTCAATGATTCTACACTACATTCAAACACCTGAACTAAGTTTCATGATTCAGTACTGTTTATTTTTCTCCATTTATGAAACTTTTGTTGTTCATATTTGCTATGTTCAAATTGTAATAATTATTATAACTATTTGTCATTTTTACTGTAGACACTAGTCATGTGTATGTGTTTTCAACTATTAACTGCCATGATGACATGCATGTTTGGACAGAACCCTATGACCTAGACATGTCTTGTATAAACTAAAATGTTTACTGTATACGCTATGCACCATATACCATATTTTCTCTATTAGAAGCACATAAAGACACTTGTAAAAAACATATTGCACTTGGCTAAGGCTGGGAAAAAAATTACTCCCATTGCTCTCTATCTAATTCATAAATTAGTATAATTTTATTTTATGCAAATTAGTCTTTTTTTATGTAGATTAGCCATGTTCTACTCACAAAAAATAATTTGCTCATTTACTTCAGCTAATGTAGTGACTGAGCAGAACATAACTGAAATCCACTATAATGACAAACTTGCAATTGGTTATCAATCTTTCTTGAACTAATCTTAAATCTGTGTTAAGGTAGTGGGACTATTATTTGCATACTTGTTTTCATCTTCTAATTGTAGCTAAATGACTACAAATAAACCCGGGAAAGTATATAATTTTACAATCGCCAGACTTCAAGCTTTTCACAAGTGTATTTTGCATGCCCGTATCTGAAATCTACGACGCGTTACTCAATCAAAGATGAAAAATTACTTTTTCTGTAAAAAAAATAATTACGCATTTATGCTGGCGATAAGAAGTATTTTTTTCACTTTTCCTAGTTGTTCAATAGTCTGGTAAATTGAATGTGTCTGGTTAGTTTTATTCAAGCAACGCGTTTTAAAAAATAGTGTCCTGAATTTCAATTACTGTTTTAGTCGCATTGCCCCCAACTCAAACCACAACTCGTTGGTAAATAATCGATGAAATAGTTTGTCTGGACACATTCAAGTTCCTCTCATTGTCACCTTAAAGCTGTGAAAATTTGGTGTTAATCCGACGACAATAAGTATACGTTATTTTTTGTTAAAGACCTTGTATTTTGAAAAACATAAACTCCTAGAAAACGT